AGCCGCGTTGTCTGCGGAATCATTGCCACTGATCTCACAATGGCCAGGAAACCACTTAAACTTGATCTCGTGGGCTGTTTCTATGATGTGGTGAAGAAGCTTGACAACTTCGTAAGTTAATTGTTCATGGCAACCACGTCGAAGGACTGACTGCATGCTCTGTAGAGACGGTTTCGAGTCGGGAATCGCAGCCCATTTACTCGGTCCTTGGGATTTGAAGTACTCCAGGGCGCCACGCAAAGCCGCAAGTTCTGCTGCCGTAAACGTAGTGACGTCTGACAGCTTGATTCGCAGAGTGACTCCTCTAGCTGGAATCACCACCGCACCGCCAGAATCAGACGCTGTGGTTGAACCATCGGTGTATATGTGCACGTGATTATTGTACATTTCGTGCAGACGGCTCAAGCTCAATTGTTTTAAGGCTGATGAAGGCAAATTTGATTTTTTTGTATTCCTGGAATTGAAACACGTACTTGTGGAAATGTCAGGCACCACGGTGAATACACCAGTTTCTCAGCAGGCGTAAAACCTGACGTGAACGACGCACGATGAGCACAGACAATCGCACTAATTTTCGTGCGGGGCCTCTCATTAGCGAGAATGGCCAAGTGGTGGGTAAGATCCCTAGCATGTTGCCTGAGGTACGTACGCATCGTTTCAATGGTGATGTGCGTCATGATCGAGTAATCCTGTGCAATGGCAATTGTTTCAGCTGTCGATGCGCAGCGGGGTAAACCAAGGCATATCCTAAACGCTTGGGTTTGAATATTTTAGATTGTGCGCAGGTTCGTTTTGCACGTGTTAGATAAACTGGTTGGCTGTACCGCAGGAATCCAGTAAATTATACCTTGTACAGCTGTAACATAAACTCGACAGACATTCCCCAACTTTTCCCAACAAGAAACCTGAATAAGTGACAAATGGTGGTCAGCCGCTTTTTCACGTAGTTTACGTGAAGTGTCCAAGACAGCTTTTGGTCGATTACGACTCCCAAGAACCTGCGACTCCGGCTGCATGACACCAACAGCCCGTTAATTGATATGCCGTAAGCAGACATTGGTTTTCCGGTGAAAGCCACGACTGCACACTTCCCACTTGCGATTTCAAGCCCTTGTTTGCGTAGGTGGTGCGATGTCACTGATGCTGCCTTCTGAAGTCGAGCGCGAAGTTGACATCAAGTCACACCTGACGTCCACACACAGATGTCATCAGCATAAATGGAAAGTCGTACACTGCTTTGGTTGCTTGCCAACTAGTCCAATGAGTGTTAGGTTGAACAGCGTCGGGCTTAGCACTCCGCCTTGCGGGACTCCTCGGCTGCAGTAATACTCGGGTGTCGGGCCACTCTCTGTCTGCACGTGAAATGGTCTATTCTGTAGGTAGCTCTGAACCCACGCGTATATCTTGCCACCAAGTCCCACTCCGCCTAGTGCGCTGAGAAAGGCTTCGTGGGTGACATTGTCGTATGCCCCTTTAACGTCAAGAAACAGAGCAGCAGATAACCGTTTGTAGGCCTTCTGGTGTTCCACATATGTCACCAAGTCAACTACATTGTCAATTGACGAGCGGCATCGTCTGAACCCGGACATGGCATCTGAATATATTTCGTAGAGCTCTAAGTACAATTCAAGGACGCGTTAAAATCATCCTTTCCACAACTTTTCCCACCCAGCTCGCGAAGGCAATCAGGCGGTGTGAGGAAATGTCATAAGGTGACTTGCCAGCTTGGAGAAGTGGAATCAGGCAACTTGACTTCCATTCCTGTGGAACCATGCCAGTGTGCGAGGAGTCATTGTACAGCTGCAAGAGTGCCTTCCGAGCTTGATCTCCTAGGTGACACAGAGCACGGTAAGTGATGCCGTGAGGTCCTGGCGCCGAAGAACGTCTACACAAAGCAAGCGTGGCCTTTAGTTCGTCCATTGAAAACTAAATCTCCATTTGCGGATCACGTGAGGATACAAGAAAGTCGGGCGTCTTCGTCCCAGTTGAATTTGCCCCGCAGGCAATCTTTCGACAGAAAGAATCTGCGACATCAATCTCTTAGCAGCGTAAGTGAAGTGCGAGAGATTATAATGGGTAGCGCTGAGTAATGGTTGTACGAAGACCCCGGACAGTTCTCCAGATTAGTGACAGAGGCTTTCTGGGATCCAAAGACTCGCAAAAAGATACCCACCGTTGCTTATCCAACTTGTTCATGTGACGCTGCATTTTCTCTTGTGTGCGTCTGGTCACTCTCAGATCATCAAGTGACTTCATGCGTCTATAACGTCGTTCTGCACGACGACGAATCGCTCGGAGTTTCTCGAGATCAGTGTCCATATCAGTGCGAGATGAGCTCACCGGAAGCGAACGCGTGGTTGACTGTAGGGCACTCTTTACTGCGTCCTCTAGGTTGAAGGGTGAGGCGCCAACATAGTCTTCTATAACTAACTTGTATTTTTGCCAATCAGTGCACTGGACGGCTCTGGATGACTTGGGACTTGGAAAGTCGTCAATCTTCAGGTATGTTGCGATGTGGTCACTACCTCTTGTTTCCAAATACGAAAACCAGTGCACTCTGCTGGCGAACGAGCGTGAGACGAAAGTGAGGTCCAGGCAACTGCTATAGGCCGATCCGCGCAGATAAGTAGGGCTGCTGTCATTCACAAGGATAAGTTCACATTCAGAAGCGAAAGACATTGTCTACCTCTAGTGTTGACCCTGGAGCTTCCCCATAAGTAGCGGTGGGCATTGAAGTCGGCAGTTATCACCCATGGCTGGAGAGTTGAATTCAAGATTGCGCGCAAGCGGTCACGGTCTAGACGACTTGATGGAGGTAAGTAGGCTCCGATGGTGGTGAATGTGGTCTTCTTGTTTTTTACTGTTGGGCAAACGTACTCGTTTTCTTCGTCAGATGGTACAGGGTGTGAACATAAGTTAAGTCGCGCCGTATGAACACAACGACCTTGCTGTGCTTTCCGTGGGTAGAAGACATAAAGCAATCATATCCAGACAGTCTCACGTGAGCTGACAGGTTCGGTTCACAAATCACAATTATGGAGAATTGCTTCGTGAATATATATTGCCGGAACTCGGACATACGCGCCCTAAGTCCTCTGGCATTCCACTGTAGGACAAATGCGTTCTTGACCTCCTCTCAAAAGGATAACAGGTTGCGGGCCATCGTTTTACCTTAGAGCTGCAAGCACCGGACTCCAAGTGTCCAGCAACTGGAGTGCGCTCTGCGCTGACAGGGTGTTCATGTTGCTTAGGAGCATGCGCATTGCACTCATAAGGGTCTCCAACATGTTAATGACCTGGTGATCCTCAGTTGTATTTTCATCAGTGGTTCATGATGGTATCGAGGTTGGTGGGATTTGATGGACCTCTGAAACAGGCTGTGTTCGTGGAAGTGATGGCCATTCTTCACGAGGTGGGATTCTTGACTCTGATAGTGTTTCGGTGTAACCGTCTTCGCAGAGCTTGATGATGGGGGGCCAGTTCTTCTTGCTTGAAATGACGTGTCTCTATCGGCAGATGTCACGTTTCGTGATGGTCTTCTGTGGTGATGCCGACGTCGCCTGACAGTAGCAGCGGCTTCTCTGTGCGTTGAATTGTCGCGCACCATGCGTTTCAGCACCGCGCGTTCATTTCGCACTCGTGGGCAATCTTTAGACGACGCTTTATGAGCGCCGTGGTGATTGGAGCATTTGAACGCAGTTGCATGGCAGGTGTCTTCTGAATTAAGTTCGGCACACCGCGGGCACACGACATTGCTGGTACATACTCCTTTTACATGTCCCATCTTGAAACATCTGAAGCATTGTAGAGGCTTCGGTATGTATGGACGTACCTGGTGCCGAACGTGGCCAACTTTGACGTGTGGGGGAAGACTGTCTCCCTCAATAACAATCTTCAGACAACGTGACTGACCAAGCCTTGCGATGTGCTTGACGAGGATGTCGTCTGTAGTTGGCTTTGTCAAGATTGGGAAATCGTCAGCGGGAATGTAAATGTCCACGTCATAAATGACGCCAACACTGCCCTTATTGTCAGTGTGGATGATTGATTTAACTGTGACTGTCGATTTCCGAGATCTTCTGTAGGCTTTGCAGCGCACTACGGTGTAGAACATCAACTGCCAGAACATTCTTCCGTGAGTTGATCCTGACGTCTTTAATCTCATTTGGAGCGAGTCCTTCGAGGTATGCAGAGAGGACTTGCCTGTTAAGCCGCCGTATGTTGGCTGAAGGGTCCACAGCCATCAAGAGTATAGTGTGTGGCCAACGCTGCGCGGTAGCCAGCACGGTGGATATACTCGCTGTCGATGATGTTTGTAGCAGTCTCCTTTTTGCGTTGCGGCTCATGACGACTGTGTAGTCGTCATCCGATGACACGAAACCGTCGTAGTAGAGCTCCATTGCCTCGGTGTCTGTGCCACTTGAGGTAGTCCCACGTTTCCTAGCCGCTGCCAGACGTAGTGGTTGTCCACCTCAAAAATCCTGAGAGGCTTCTTCATCCATTCTCGCAAGGAGGCAGTGGCAGCTCCCAGAATTTGCGGTAAAACAAGAAGAAAATTCGAGACAAGGGTACCAGCGTTCTATAAAATAGACACTTCCCCAAGTTTAGGGGGTGATCAAGAGAGTATCGAGACGTAAGCGGCTGGATGGATACAAAGATACGTAAACGTAGACGCCAAACGTGCTCGCAGTACGCGAAGGAATGCTTCGTATTTAAAAATATTCTTCACTTTCACTGGAAATAATTGAATTTAGAATACTGGTGTTAATATTCCTATTGTCCTGCCCTAATTTTTCTCTTCTGTCTTTATTTTTCATTTTGCAACAACCCTTCTTATTCATCTTTCATCTCCTTCACCCCTTTCACAATACAGGGTTGCATGCTGGTCTGAGAACTCCCTCACCTTGTCGTTCAATCTGTTTCTCCCTCCTTCTCGTTCTTGATATTGATGCCGCTAGGTTACCGTTAGTTACATTGTTCGCTTCATCTTTTGGTCACAGGGTCTGGTGAAATGCCTGACAGAATGGTGCGACAAGTACGGAGACGTGTTCGGGTATGGAGAGCTTGCTCATTCTCCTATTCCATGCAAATGACGTTTTCTAAGCTGTTGACGTGTGTAACAAGTAGGGAATAATGGCGTGGCGGAGCTGCAGTCACAATATCCACGTTTTTGGCGTTCTTTCAGTTTCTACAACGGTGACGTGCCAACCTTGGTGATCAAGGACATTGAATTCCTGACCTATATATTTGTGAAAAACTTCCAGGATTTCACTAGCCGAGGGGTAGGCTCCTAGTATATGTTAAAGATTCCTATGCCAGTCAATATAACAATACCTGAGGCTCTAATTATTTTTGCTTTAGGAGAAAGCTCTTAATGCCTTGTTAAGCGGGCCGAAGTGCACCGGAGGTAAAGCAGGCTTTTTTTCAAAGTGTAATATCTTGACGAACCTTCATCGCCCATCACCCAATTTCCAAAACATATAGCCAAAGAACGCACAGTTAAAACTGCTTGTGAGCACTTTTGGCTGCGGCTGACAGTTGTGGCGTCTTGGGCTTCAGCGAAAAAAAAGACAAACACTTTTTCAGCTTTCAGGGCACCAAGACTTAGCACGTACCAGTGTAAACACGCAGTCAGAACAAGACACTCGCAAGAGCAAACATCTTCACTGTACTTGTAGGAGAGAAGAGAGAATAGAGCATGTGAAATGTGAAATACAAACCTCTGTGAGTGTATGTACTTGTGTAAGATGACTTTATTTTATAGGCGAACGTTACTCATCTCAGAAGGCGGGCGCTTAACGACTATGGCGAACGAGCGTCATCATGCACATGTCTGGGATAATCACGATAGAGGGAGGTTTCCCGGCATTTGCACTATGCTGGGCAAGACTCGGCGGTCGTTAACTCAGAAGCAGAAAGCAAGCGAATAGCACTGGCAAAACTACTAAATTCTTTTCGCAAAACCGACCAAAAAACACTTAAGCGCGCTAACTTACAAGGCTAGGGAATATTGCATATTTTTTAAGGTTATCTTACAGCTGTCTCTCATTTCCTCACCGACTGGTATTATTTCTACTGTTTTCTTGCAATAGTGCGAGAGGCAGTGCTAGTTAGAGCGAAATAGGTGATTGCATCTTGTCAATGTCTGTGGTTCCCGCACCTGGATTCCAGTCTCCCATTTTTCGAACAGTCCACCATGAGGACCGATGAAGAGCACAGATTCCTAGGACAAAGTCTTCTGCATGCGCGTGGCGTACAGTGGAAGAGAACTCGCAGCTGCGTTTCCTACGCGTTCACGGCCAACAAGTTTAAGCAGGTAAGCAAGGGAGCCCCTGATCATGAACATGAACGTTTGCGAATGTTGACGTAAAACGTTCACCGATCCTGCTCCTACTTTTTAATGACGCTACGACTCAACGATCACGGGTTTATTTTCAGCGTGAAATGGGTGCCCGTAATTTGCGAACCACTGTCATTAAGAGACGTATACTGCGAGAAAATGACGAGCTAAGTCAGTTAGTGTACGTTCATTCCTTGACATTCGCCGTTCACTTATATACCAATATGAATCATTCCAGGATTTCACCGAAGTTGCGTTACACTTCTGCGTAGGTTATAGTTGCGTGTCGCACTTACGCGTGCGTATACGTGTTGCGCATAATGATGGCTGACACAGCAGCATCTGACCAATGCGGTAGAGATGAAACTATTTGATTGATTGATTTGTAAGGTTTAACGTCCCAAACCACCATATGAATACGAGAGACGCCCTAGTGGAGGGCTCCGGAAAATTCGACCACCTGGGGTTCTTTAACGTGCACCCAAATCTGAGCACACAAGCCCGCAACGTTTCCGCCTCCATCGGAAATGCAGCCGCCGCAGCCGGGAATCGAACCCACGACCTGCGGGTCAGCAGCCGAGTACCTTGGCCACTAGGCCACCGTGGCGGGGCAGACGAAACTATTCAACATAATTTGTGCGAGCGTCTGAAGTACAGTTTACAGAGATTGTCACTTTGCAACGCAATTGATAAACTGCACAAGCAAACTCTCTCGGAAGAACGAATTCTGCATCAGCGACCGGACCAAACGTCCCAAAATAATTAAAGCTGTGCGTGCGCTACTGCGCTTCGCACGTTCAAGTGGTGAGACGCAACGGCTTAGGTTGAAACGTACTGCGTGCGTTTGCATGTATGTGTGTTTCATTGATTTTATTCAGTCTCTCTCACTCTCTCTCTCTATCATCTTTACAACCTACCTTTCTACACCCCTCGATGGAGGCGGAAATGTTGTAGGCCTGTGTGCTCACATTTGAGTGCACGTTAAAGAGCCCCAGGTGTTCGAAGTTCCCGGAGCCCTCCACTTGGTCTCTCTTATAATCATGTAGTTTAGGGACAATAAACCCCACATATGAATCAAGTCTCCAACCCTGTGGTTAGTAGCCACCCATCTACTTGTACCATGTTGACCCTACCTGCAGTTTCTTTTTCATCCATTTCTCTATCTCTCTGTACGCCATGGCACTGCAGGATAGTCACTGTTACACCTCTCGTTTGAACCAGAAGCAAGTTTGCTCGTGATACTTCCCTTTCTTCTCCTGCAACCTAGCTCGACCACTGATTGCGCAGGCGATGCGATCACCTGGGCTGAACAAGCCCACTAACTTGCCCCAGCTGACTAACCACTTATCAGTACTCCCAAAACCACCATTATGGACAGCGATATGACGAAGAACGCTTTCCGACGGGCTCTCGTATGCGCAGTCATGCCGTGAAAAAAGGAGCAGGACGGTATAAAATATGCTACCAAGCACACACTGATTCACTGGAATTGTTAAGGAGCCTCTAAACAATTTCTGAAAACGGAATGAACGAGCACGTTATTTTCTCCGGGTGTTTCCGCTTTTTTCGAGCAAGATTCATAACGCCACGAGTTTATTCACGTGACGTCACGAGGAAAGACGTTCTCGGTTTGTCCATATGCGAGAGGTATACGAGTGGGGGGTGAATAACCTTATACTCAGTTTAACATACTTGCACGTCAGTTTTGCCTTGTCTCGTATCACCATACCTCACTATCAACAGGTTTCACTTCAATTGATACGTTCGAAGCCGACCAGGCAGTGTTTAGAGCGCACAGGCTAGAAACGATAAACCGTGATACGCTGTTATAGTCAGTGCTAAGCTGTTCACGTAATTTATGAATAAGGGGCGGGGGAGGGATATATAGCACCAATATAAAGGAAAGTAAATTTGAGAAAAAGACCACACCATCTATTTTGAGATTGGAGTGGTTTAGAGGCCTTTTACGATAGCTCTTCCGATGAAGTAAAAGAAGCTGATGCATTCATTCGGTTCAACATGCGTTGTATCTTACACTGGAAGTGCGACAGAAAAAACAGTTGCTACAGTGACTATAGCCCTTCAGTCATATACGTGCCTACATACACTTGCAGATGATTCCGTACATGTCTCACGTGGCTGACGTATTCGTCCAAATACTGGGCGAGAAGGCGGATGCTGGCAAAGAGTACCCGATGCTGCGTCTCTTCCAAGGCCTCACCATGGACTATGTGGGCCGGGCCGCGTTCGGGTTCGACTGCACTTTCCAGCGAGAGCTCACGCACCCCTTCCTCAAGACAGCGCAGGGCGTGCTGCCTGGCGTAATGACCGGACCGTTTCACATGTTAGCCCGTAAGTATATACTGCGCTTTTCTTCAACCTCACGTAGCCTGTTTTGCGTGTCAAATGTTTTACCTTGCAATACGATATAAAGAACACGTAAATACGTAATCTCAAACAAGGAAGATTGATTGATGATTTATATGTGAGGTTTAGCGTCCAGAAACCACCATATGATTATGAGAGACGCCGTAGCGGAGGGCTCAAAAAATTTCGACCAGCTGGGGTTCTTTAACGTGCACCCAAATCTGAGCCCATGGGTCTACAGCATTTTTGCCTCCATCGAAAATGCAGCCACCGCAGCTAGAATTCGATTCCGCGACCTGCGGGTCAGCAGCTGAGTATCTTAGCCACTAGACCACCGCGGCGGGGCAAGTAGAGGAAGATGAGCCCGTAAGCTCAGAGTTTAAATTTTTGAAAAGTGAATGAAATGCAATGGCTGTCACTAAATGAGTGAATTTTACGACTCGCACAAAGAAATTTAGCGCATGGATTGTAATATTACTTTTGACACTAAAGTTATAACAATAGACAACCAGCTCATTACATTCTTGCAGTTATTGATGTTTTCAGCTTATATAATACTATCTACCAGGGTAACAGTTAAACTTTTTTTGCAATTTTACCAAAATAGACCTTTAACACGCGCGTGCTGAGAAAAAAGCTGACGTCGGCAGCGTTGACTTGAGTAATGCGAAAAAAAAAAAGAATGCCATTGTCTCAGCCGGTACCGAGCCCCAGCATTCAGCGTGGCAATCAAGTATTCTGCCAGAATGTCATGGCAGGTATCAAAATTCTTTTTGAAATAGACACTAATGATCGTGAAACGTCTATTGTGGCCGCAGTACTTGCTATCCAATTTTACAAGCAATACTTATGTAGTCATATTATACAGCCATCACTTCAGGTTAACGCCAGTTCGTTTAAGCGCCGTCCACTGAAGTAGAATGATGTAGCAGTGTCCAGAGCACACCGTGTTCACGAGCATTAGCGATTAACAAATAACGGGTTTTGGTGTTGCTAATATCATGCTGCTGTCATCGTCGTCACGCAGCTGTAACCAACGGGTAATATATAAAAAAATGTGGATTTCTAACGTTTGTCTGTGCGTGCATCTGCACATACTTTTAGCGCCGCTTCGTCAAGTTTCGCACAGTAAAATATTCACAATACAGTCACCTTTCACCCGCATACTTCGCATAAAAACATCTATTCCAAAGGTACTTGGGATCTGTCGCATTTCTTTTTTCATGCAACGAGACTTTTTGTTATTTTTAGATTCCACAACAACAATGGCGAAATACGTAGCCCCGATCCTTTGGCTCAATGAAAAATTTGGCACGTTCAGCTACGATGTATTCAAGAAGCATACATCGAAGGTCATTCAGCTTCGTATGAAAAATCCTGAGGTGAGTTCGTATTGTTGTATGATTGTCGAACCACAACGTGAAAAGCGTACACATATTTGTATCCATCCAAAGCTATGCCATCGCTAAGGTCCACAATAAATTCATGCAAGGTTGTCACCATTGTATTGTTGCGGTGATTACAAACACACGGAGGAAAAAAATGAATGTATTACCAATATTTACAAGTAGGTGGGAACCACCAGGGCTGCCAGCCTTTCGTGCGCTCAGTCCGCTTCTTCCTCTTCGATTAGTCTACAAAGGTGGGGCCATGCCCACAACATCACCCCCGGCTGCCTAAGCGCCGTCACGGCGCCGCTAAGTCAATCAGGACTGGCAGTATAGTACCGTTTTACTCGTGACACATGAACAACATCAGTAGGTGGTGTGGCAGAAGACAAGTGTTGTTGAACGGAAGATATGAGGTAGTCGACGTCGGTGACCTTGCGGATAACTTTGTAGGGCCATGTGTATCGTGGGAGGAGCTTCTCGCACAAGCCTTCACGTCGATGCGGCGTCGAAAGTAGGGTGAGAGAGACAGCAGGGTAGTCAACTTCACGGTGTCAGTCATCGTCGCGGACTTTTTGTGAGGCCTGAGAAGCAGTGAGCCTAGTGTGTGCAATTTGGCGAGCGACGTGGGCTTGAGAAGCAACGTCCTGAGCATACGCCGTTGGTTGGGTGGTATCAGAAGGAAAAAGTGTGTCGAATGGCAACGCAGGGTTGCGGCCGTACAGAAGAAAGAAGGGAGAATAGCCGACGGTGTCATGCCTTGACAAATTGGATGCAAACGTAACGTAGGGGAGCGTTAGGTCCCAGTCACCTTAGTCAGAAGAGACGCACGTGTACAACATGTCTGTAAGAGTTCGGTTGAGGCACTCTGTGAGACCGTTGGTCTGGAGATGGTAGGCAGTAGTAAGGTGGTGTTCGGTAGGGCGGCTACGGAGGATTTTGTCGATAACTTTTGCGAGGAAGCAGCGGCCACGATCCGTCAGAAGCTGGTGCGGAGCCCCATGCCGCAGAACGACATCATTAAGCAGAGTGTCTGCGATGTCTGTAGCCTAGCTACTTGGCAAGGCACGAGTTATAGCGTATCTGGTCACATAGTCAGTTGGGACAGCGATCCATTTGTTGCCTGACACGGTTGTTGGGATAGGTCCGAGCAAGTCGACGCCGACGCGAAAGAATGGTTCCGGGGGAATGTCGATAGGTTGGAGCAGGCCAGTCGTATGGAAAGCAGGACGTTTGCGACGCTGGAAGCGCTCGCAAGCAGCGACATAGCGGCGCACAAATTTGTACGGGCCAGGCCAAAAGAACCGTGCGTGAATACTCCAGGTGTCCTGCCGTCGGAGCATCGTGCAGATGTTGAAGAATGGTCAAACATAGGTGTCGGGGAATAACTAGCAAAAATTCTGGGCCATCAGCTTCATGTTGCGGCGATACGAAATTTCGTTGTGGAGGACATATTGATGAAGCAAAGGGTTGGAATGTCCTGAAGATATTCGCTCAATGACCGTCTTGAGGGTTGCGTCCCGGCGCTGCTCTGTACCGATGTCGCGCAAATGAGATATAGCGAGCACACAAGAATCGCTCTAATGGACAGCGAGGCTAGCAGAGTCCACCGGATAGCGCGAGAGACAATCGGCATATTGGTGCAACCTGCCATACTTCTAAATTACGTCGAAGTTATACTCCTGAAGACGTAGAGCCCAGCGATCTAGGCGACCAGTTGGGTCCTTGAGCGACGAAAACCAACACAGAGCGTGGTGGTCCGTAATAACTGACGACTCCCGGTCATACAAGTAGGGGCGAAATTTCGCCACAGCCCCCACCAGCGCGAGACACTCGCGCTTCGTCAACGAATAGTTTTACTCAGATGTGGAGAGAACGCGGCTGGCATACGCAATAAGAGGCGTTCAGCCTCCCTGGTGTTGAGCGAGGACGGCGCCGATGCCATGAGCACTGGCGTCTGTGCGAACGTCAGTCGTCGCGGACGGGTCGAAGTGAGCCAGTATTGGTGGTGAATTGAGCAGGTAAATCAGCGTGGCAAACGCAACAGCTTGGTCTCAGCCCCACGAGAATGTCGCGTTCTTTTTTAGAAGATCAGTTAGTGGTCGTGCAATTGTAGCAAGATTGCGTATAAAACCTTGGACATACGAGCATAAGCCCACAAAACAACGAACATTTTTGGTCGAACAGGGAAGAGAAAAGTTCTTCACAGTGCTAATCTTGTCAGGGTCCGGTTGGACTCCAACAGAACTTACGCGATGAACAAGTACCGTGATTTTTTGTCGGCCAAAATTGCACTTTTTCGAGTTCAGCTGAAGCCCCACTCGTTGGAAAATGGCTAGAATGGTCGACAAACGAGTTAGGTGGCTTTCAAATGTTGGGGAAAAACTATGCCATCGTCGAAGTAGCAAAGGCAGATAGACCATTTATAACCACGGAGGAGAGAGTCTATGATGCGTTCGAACGTTGCTGGGGGTTGCACAGCCCAAAAGGCATACATAACCTTGAACGGATAAAGGCCATCCGGTGTGACAAAGACAGTTTTTTCTCGGTATAAGTCGTTGACATAAATTTTCCAATAATCCGAATGCAGATCTATAGATGAAAAGTGTCGCGCGCCATGAAGGCAGTCTAGGGCGTCGTCGATTCGTGGCAGCGGATATACGTCTTTGCGGCTTATATTTTTCAAGGCACGGTAGTCAACGCAAACTCTACAACTGCCATCCTTTTTGACTAAAACAACAGATGACTTGAAGAGGCCTTGAAGAGGCCTATGGACTTGAAGAGGCCTCTATGACTCCTTTGGAGAGCATCTTCTCAATTTCTCGTTGTATGACCTGGCGTTCGGACTGGGAAACACAATATGGTCGCCGTCTAACAGGACTAGCATCGCCGGTATGCATTTGATGTCGCACGACGGACGTTTGACCTAAAGGGCGGTCATTGATGTCGAAGATATCTCGGTAGGTGCTTAGAACGTGGTGGAGTTGAGCAGTCTGACAGGGTAGAAGATCCAGGGCAATCATCATCGTGATTTCGTCGGTAGGTGCGTTTGCTGGGCTGGCTGCAATAGGGTACGAGGAGTCTTCAGGGTCTAATCCCACGATGCTACATGCATCGAATGGGGAAACATGGGCTAATTAAATACCTTGCGAAAGAACTTGGCTCGAACTACTAAAGTTGAGGAGCGGAAGCTGAACGTAGTTGCCCACGATAGTCACAATGGTATGGGGCACAGCAACACTTCGGGCCAAGAGCACATCCACTATTGGGGACACTATGTAGTCACCGTCAGAAAGAGCTGGTGATATCGTTAAGGCCACAAACGTGGTGGCTTGCGGTGACAGCCGAACATAATCAACAGCGCACAAACTGTGTGTCGGTGAGGACGGCACAGCCCAAAGTCGAGGCAGTTCAAGTTGGAGAACGCCGATTGCACCGTCGATGAGAGTGGCATGAGTGGACAAGAAATCCAATCTGAGAGTCAGGTCATTGGGGCACTGCTCAATAACTGCAAAGAGAACAGATGTGGGGTGATCGGCGATTGTGATGCGTGCGGTGCACATTCATGTGATGGCAAGACTTCTTCCGTCGGTGACGCGTATGATGCCAGGAGCAGCCGGTGTAAGCACTTTTTTTTCAGGCGGTGACGAAGTCGGGCACTCATCACAGAAATATGCGCCCCGGTGTCAATAAGTGCAGAAACAGTCAGGCCGTCAACGTCGACGTCGATCGAATTTCCTCGTGTCGGCAGTACGAGAAGAGAATTTGAGGTTGGTATCGAGGATGCAGCTTCACCTCCAAGAGCTGCACCACTTAGTTTCCCTGGTGGGAATCGAGCGGGGTGGTCGGGCGTCATCGTAGAAGAGAAGGGGACGACGGGTGACGTCCAGGCGGCGAACGAGACTGATGACGTCGAGGCGACGGTGAGTGGCTGTGCTGTGTATCAGGGGCATCGAAGGCGTAGGGTGGAAGGTGGCGGTAGTTGTCGGCGATCGGCGCAGGGGGCTGGAATAGGCGGTAGGTGTTGTCGCAGCGAGCACTGTTATACTGATTTCGGGACGAAGACCAATGGTTGTGGCAAAACCGTGCGACATGACCTATACAGCGGCAGTTAAAGCAGATCGGACGATCATCCGCAGTTCTCTATTCGGCCGGATTGCAAGAGCGTGGATAAGACCGTTCCTGAGGCGGTGACCTTGGATGAGGTGGTGAGCTTGAACGAAAGCTATTTGGTAGAGACTGAGCAGCTGTGCACACATCGAAGCCCAAATTGCTGAGTTATTCTCGCACAATCGGCTGTACCAAGCACCCTGAGGTGCTTGCGAATCGATGTGATCGTTGGCGTGAAGAGCAGGTGTAATTTCACCGATTTCCCGCCGTACGATTCGCGTAACTTCAGACGGCGGTGAACACTGCTGACGAGAGGTCAATCCATGTTCGCAGGAGGACATCGCAGCGGTATTCGGCAGTCGAGTGAATGATCTTGAAATGTGCCTGCTTTTAGCCAGTTCAAAACGCTGGCATTCTTGAATAATTTCTTTGGCAGTCACACAGTTCCGGCACATTAGCAGGTTGAACGCATCATCCGTTATCCACTTGAGGACGTGGCCAAACTTATCAGACTCCGACATGTCGTTGTCGACTTTACCACATAGAGCCAGCACGTCGTCCTGTATGTACGAGATATACGGCTCTGTGGACGTCTGAGCACGTATAGACAACTCCTTCTTCGCAGCCGCCTTTCAACCGATGGGCTTTCCAGATAAGTCGCAAAGCTTCTCCTTGAACGTGTCCCAACTGCTGATCTCTTCCTCATGGTTCTCGTACCAGACTTTGGCCGTGCCTGTCAGGTAAAACAGAACGTTGGCCAGCATGCGAGTCGGGTCATACCGGTTGAGCACACTGGTACGTTCGTAGTCGTCTATCCAGTCGTCGACATCAACTTCATCCGTACTACAGAACGTTTCTGGATGCTGCGGATGCGTCAGCACGTA